CTAGTGAAATGCTACATTTGGAGCATAGCTCTGTATGGGGCTGAAACATGGACACTTAGGGCAGTAGATCAGAAACATCTGGAAAGTTTCGAAATGTGGTGTTGGAGAAGAATGGAGAAGATCAGTTGGACCGATTATGTGAGAAATGAAGAAGTGTTAATTAGAGTCAGTGAGCAGAGGAATATCCTACACGAAATAAGAAAACGGAAGGCTAATTGGATTGGTCATGTTTTATGCAGAAACTGCCTTCTAAAAGAAGTTATCGAAGGAAAGATAGAGGGGCGGATAGAAGTGACAAGAAGACGTAAGAAGATGCTGGATGACCTTGGGGACAGAAGAGGATACTGTCATTTGAAGGAGAAAGCTCTAGATCACATTAAGTGGAGGAATTGTTTTGGAAGAGACTGTGGACCTGTCGTCTTGACAGATTACTGATGATGATGATGATGAAAACAGTAACATGTGCATGAATACTTATAGCAATTGGGACTATAAACTCACAAAATCTCTCCATTTAGACAGGTTGGAAACTTCTATGTTGTTGTCTTTCTTATGCTATGTTTAGATGGCAACAGATTAGTCATGATTGCTGTAAAATGTCTGTAGAGTAGCATCAGCACATGTTTACATGGCAATAAATTTTCATCCCTGATCATTTCTGACTATCATGACAGCAGATGAATTTCAGAAGTTTCACTCAACTCTCATCACCATTTACATGATAATAATTGTGTTACTAAATGTCAGAATCTCCACCGGACTTCGGTGATGATGAGATTACTAAAGAGCAGTGCTGCTGCTGTTATGGTTATTAGTATGAAATATTAAAAGACAGAAAACCAAACAGTCTGGGTAACACAATGGACATTGAGAAGAAAGAATCATGGGATAGTTACTTGTCTTGTAAATGAGTTATAGATGGAGTCCTTTTTCAGTTCAGAAATTTACTTAGAATGTGTCCATCGAATACTGAAGACATTCTTGGTTGGACAGGACTAGCAAAGCAGATGGAATGTGTGGATGTTGAAGACACTACATTATGTGCTGCATCAGCGCCACTAACCTGATGACCTGGAAGTACCCTCCTGTCAGCAAAGAAGAACAACTGGATCTCAAAGACAGCAACGTTTATGGGAGCCAAGACATAAGCCATAAAGAGGCCTCAACATGGTATACTCGTAAGCCCCCTGCATTTTAATGAAGTAACTGAATGAAAATAGTTGTAGATATTTTGTAAAGATAGCATGAATGTGTTCATGTTACTGTTTGTTTCCACAGGAGATTCATATGTCAGTTTAAGCTAACTGTTTTGAACCCCAGAGTGTAAAACTTAACAGTACCAGAAGTATGTTGGGCAATAGCAAATGCTGTCATGAAACAAGATATTCAGAGGAAGAGCAGAAGTTGACATAACTACAAAAAGGTCCAAGCACTAATCTGAAATTAATAAAATTTATTAATCATAAAATATTTATATAAAAGAGAAGAATACTGTACATTGCTATTTGAAGCATATGGACCATTAATTTTATTCATTCATTCATCAGTAATCTGTCAGACAACAGGTCCACAGTCTCTTCCAATACAGTTCCTCCACTTAATGCGATCTCAAGCTTTCTCCTTCAATTAAAATATCCTCTTCTGTCCTCAAGGTCATCCAGCATCTTCTTATGTCTTCTGGGCACTTCTAATCTGCCCCTCTGGTTTGTTTTGCCTCCAGAGGAAACATCTCACATACATGGCATCTCTGTTTTTGGAAAAAGACTATCCAGGAAAAGTGATAATGTGGTAGTTTTTCCATTTGCTTTCCACATCGCAGTACAATAGCCGTTCAAACCACTCTGGTCACGCCTGTTGCTATATGAACTTGAACCATCTCGAGCATCATTTGCTCTGTGCTTCATGTTGCTGCTGATGACGCTAATTTTATTACAATGAAATAATAAATGTTATTGAAAGAAGACAAATCAATGATCATATGGTTCTCTTGTGTTGTTCCAATTGTTGTAATACTTTTATTATAATGGTTACTATATTGATTGAAGCTGGATAACATGGATAACAGAGCTGAGGTATTAGGCACTAAGTGCACTGACAAATTTCTCCCCTTCAAACAAAGCTCCTAGTAAGATATATCCCGTATCATGCTTTGCATTCTTTCTGACTGAATTGTTACTCATGCTCTGCAGCTCATTGGCAACAAAATTTCTGAAGATCAACAGATCTGCCAGGCTGTGAATGATACTGATCATGGCATCAGTGCCTTCTTTGACTGGCTGTGATGTCTCTATTCCTATCTATTCTGCCATGAAAAATATATTAATAAATAAATTGAACAAGTATTTAATTTGTCATTACAGGTTACATTAGAAGAAGATTAGGAGCCAATACACCAGTTGTTTGAGAGAACATGGAATTTTCTAAGATGCATTGATGTTTTGAATGATAGACACATCACAAGTCAGGCCCCTGCTAAAAGTGAAAGCTATTACTGTAACTATAAAGATTACCACAGCAATGTTTTAATGGAGCTTGCAATGATCTGTATGAATTTATTGCAGGTAATATAGGCTGTAATGGAAGAACATCTCACGGTGATGTTTTCTAAGCACCCCACATACCACAGTGCCTGGAACATCTGTTATGCACAGTTTTATTTCCACACACTTTTTAGTGAATAACATACATCACTACCACACCTTATGTTGCTGACAAAGCTTTTCTTCTATGGTCATATCTGATGAAATCTTATGCCAGAATTTCAGATAACTGAAATGATATGACTAGAGTCTTTGCCTACCAATTGAGTGAAGACAGAAATATTATCGGTAACACTTCTGGAGATATGTCAAGTGTGTTCAGAGTGTTAAGGAAACCTTCACTTACCTAACCTCAACGGGCAGACATTATTATTTTGGCTGTATGTATGTACTGCAAGGGGGGGTGGGGGGGCTACACAGATGATGGTTAATAGCCAAGATTAAGAAACAGAGATAGGAACTATTGAACTTGGTAGTTGGAGACCATAAAAGATGCCCAATAATAATATTTTGGCAGTTGGTAACAGGCAGTAACTACTTAAATAATGCCAAATTAATCACTAACTGATCTGACAGTAGTGTATGGTTTTCCATACCCTGCTTTCATTAGTATAAAATCCACTGGCTTAAATAAATAAGGAATGGACTGCAAAGCAACTAACAAAAAACATCTGTAGCCCTTGTCATAAGCCACCTAGCCTGTGAATTCAAACTTCCTAGCTCTAACCTTTTTGAAGATATTTTCACCACAGCCAAAGCAAAAAACGTAAGGATTTTATTTTTAAAAAATCTTGGAAAATAATAATAACTTATTTGGTCTGCTTCTTCTTCATTTGAAGAAGCAACTGAGGGCACTTCATTGCCAGTTGCAGTTCTCATCAATTCAAAATATGGCCACTGTGATGTATACTGTTCACTCATCCCTCTTCCCGACTTCTTTACCCACATTTCCCAAACTCCCTTGTTTACTGGCTGTGGTGTGAAGTTTCTAACAAACTTCATCCACTGTAGCATTGAGTGCTGAGGCTACTTCTCCATAGCCCTACTTTTGGAGACTTTTTGTTTTTACATTCCACAGGAATGGTGTCATCTCAAACTCAATAATTTACTTCACAGTGTCCTCTACTTGCCACTTTTTCTTGCTTTCACTAGCTGTACTGAAACAGAAATGATAAATCAGAACACAACAGACTCCTCATTGACATGCCCTTCTCCAGTGAGCTGAAAGTAATCCAAACCCTGAGTAGCTGTAAATATAGGAAAGAGACATCAGATTATTTCAAGAGCAAACAAACACACCAGTTTACACACCAATACATAATATAAGTTGACTTCTCAAATTATAGGTTACAGAATTAGCAATATCAAGTGCAAAAATTGTTCACATGCAACTATGTGACAATCAACTATATCTATAACGCTCGACTGACATTGTATGAACCCGGCATTAGATTTCATTATTTTGATAGTTACTTAACACCTTTTTAAGATAAGCCAGTAGTACAAGAATAGGATATAAGGGACTTTGTAATCAGACTCAGTGATGATGCCCTGATCTGTCTAATGGTGCATTGGCAGACCACTAAAACTTGGGGAATACAGCAAAAAATCTGTTCTTTTCCATTTAATAAAAGCTGTAACGTTTCACTTGGAATCAGATCTATGCATGTTAAAGTTCAGAGGCCACAGGGTTTCTTCACTTCACATGAGCCAGAGAAGTCAGACAGGTAAATTTACTGCTCAACAGAGGTTTCAAAGTCTACTTCTGTACACACACTGCTGTGGAACAGAGGGACCCTGGTTGATTGAATGTTCTATCACTATCGGGCATTACAAGTGATACAGCCAGAGGTCTCTGTGTGTTCTTCAGTTGTGCAAGACATCTCACCAATGCAGACAGCCCAGCACTTGCATGACTGTGTAGACCTCTGGAGCTTTCAGACTCACACTGCTTTTGATTTGCCTGAGAACACTGTGTGTCTTGGCAAGGATGGGTGCAAAGACAAGAAGACGACATCAACAGCAAAGCCTACAGTCAATAAAACAAAAATTTTGCAGCATCCACAGAAATTCTACATGCATATTCTGTTTTTATAAGAACTTGAACTCAAACCTGACAAACTGCTATATATTATTTAAGCTCGCAGATTTGTCAATCATGCAGAAAGCATGTGTCAACAGGATTTCTTTTAATGCTACCTTAATTTCTTTTTATGGTGGGAAGAGATTTAATTTTTGGTAAACAGAAGTTGTAAAACCTTCTTCCTGTAAATTACTGGAAAAACATAATCAAATAAAACATGTACATTACTGTAAATTCTACATTCTTCATTCCATCAAATTCTCCACAAATAATAATATCTAACTAATTCTAAATTGTAATCAACTGTAACAACTGTAACTATTGTAATTTTAATCTTACTCATATATTAAACTGTTAATATTCAGAGTTAACTTGACTTGTCCTATATCATGTACAATGATCTACAGTCATGAAATCAATCAATCAATCAATCATCTTTTACATGCACAGTAAGGTTAGAAAACTGGCCTGTGAAGATCATGTTTGTTCAACAAGATTTTTTTTATATCTCAGTTATTTCTTCCAAAAGCTGACTATTCTCAATCACAGTCAAACAGTTCAGAATCAAAACATCCTTCATTCTTGATTCTTCAACAAAAATAAAATTATGAAGTAGATTACTGCCACTCGGATTCAAATCTGGGTTAAAAATGGACATATTTGATGTTTCTCAGTCCCACTGATTTCACACATATCACTTCTTAACTCTAGAGTCTCATACATTAAAGAGATGACATATCTGTGACATTTCACACATTCCGCGAAAGCAAAGCAGATGTCTATTTCAGAACCTACCACAAACATCAAAACTCCATACAACCTGATTCTGGTACAATTCCTTAAATACATTATAGCATGGTGTGTAATTAAAACCACATGAATTTTGGCATTTTACTGTGACTTTCGTTAGCTGCAGACATAATCTACCTGCTTTATGATAAAATTTAAAATTTCACTAATATGGTGTTTAAAGGCAGACTATCTCAAAATGATTGGATTTCAATAAGAGGCAGATCATACCAGGCATTAACTTTGTTGCATGGCTAAACTTGGTGATATCTGACTTGGATTATGTTACATTAATGAAACAAGAAACAATGTCTACATACATAAAATGTTACCATATTAACATTATCTTTAGTTTTATTATGTGTACCTTAATAATTCTTTTTGATATACCTACTTATAGCAACCATAGGACCAAAGTTTACAAATACATCTATTTTAAAATAATAATTCTTCCAAGTATAAGTTCAAGTAATGTGTTTTTATTTCCCTCTTAGCATTATAACTGGGACACAATTACATGAAGACACACTGCCAATGACAGACTGAAAAAATAAGTTCCTAACCTACAAACTTCAGATAAGATAAAGAAATAGTTCCTTCTTTTGTAATATATGTTATGGTTACTGTAGTTCTGGTCACGTGTACACAAATAAATAAATAAATAAATCTAAAATTCCAGTACCTCATATAGTCATATGTAACATAACATGTATCACAAAATGCTTCTTTTCCTATAGGAAACACAGAAACAATTGCCAAAATTTAAGTTAAATTTAATTTTAACTTCTCAAAATCATAATTACTGTTACAAATATGAAGCGATTTTTTTATGGTATTATAAAAGTAAACTGTACACTGACCAGCTCAATTCCCTTCGTTTTCTTTGTTTTGCAACACGAGCTTGTTGTTTTATTACTATGTCGTATATATCGGTATATAGTGAACATTTCTTTTCCAACATGTAAAAAGATAACATTATCTATATCCTTTGCCACGTTAATGAATGTTTATTTATATCTCTGTGTATTTTAGGCTTAATGAGAACTACCGTATTAACTTCTGCACCCCCATTTAAGTATAATAGCAGTCTCAAATTCACGTACGGAAAGTCCATAATAATAAAATAATAATACATACATACATACACAAATGGAATCAGTAATAATAAAATTAATGTTTCATTCACAAGTAACCGCCAACTACTAACAACACTCTCTACTTCCAACATTATAATTCACACATCCTAACCTCTTTATCACAATATTTTAAAAATCCGACAACAGGTGTCTCTCAAAACGTTTGAGCCAACGGGCGCAGTGCATTGTGGGAGCTGAAGGAAAAATTGCGTTGCTGGGAAATAGAAGGTACCTTAGTATCATTAGATTTTATTTGAAAAAATTATAAAAATAAGAGCATCATGATGAGTAATATTTTGTTATGGGTAGTATCAGTCTAATATGTTGATTTTACAAAGTACTGTATTCATACTTTAAACTGGTAAGCAATTTATTATCAGTTTTGTCATAGAAGTTTGTGAGACTGCTATGAAAAAAAATCCATGAACTTATACTCATCACTGGAAGTTATGCTAAGGCTGTAGTATAGCTTTTAGTATTGACACAGTTCACAGTCTTTATTGTTGTATCAAGTTGTTTACAATTATGTCCAATTTAAAAAATAAAATCTTTACCAGTAAGTTTCAAAGGCAGCAGCCCTCCTCATTTACCTTCAGCTGTATTGTTGAGTGTACATACTTGTATGATGTATGTATTGATGTATGTATGTATTGATGATGTAACTAACAAATATCAAAGGCAATTGAAAGTAGTATTTGGAGTGTGGCATACATTAGAGTTCACAAGTGAGCCTGTCATAGTGATGAATATTATTTTTCATATTTAAGGATTAATTTAATTTTTTATGTGCTCTTTTTCCAGGCCACAAGCTTAATTGTTACATAAATGCATTTTTGTAGCATTAAGCCTAAATGTTCATAGTATTATGAAACTCACCTCCATGTTTGTAGTTATATTGATATAATATGTGTTCTGTGTTTCTATACCCTCAGGTGGTACAGACTGCAACAGATTTGTATATGTTTTCATATCAGTACATATACAAAATACAGTTTTATAAGTGTAAATTTTAGTACCATGTTATTGGAGTATAGAAAGAATGCATATTACTAAAACATTTCATGCAGTGGATTCAGTTCGTGATGCCCTAAGAAACACCATGGAAGCGACAGACTCACAAGAAATTGAGGTATGTGTATTATTTGAATAGTCTTAGACTGCTGAAATCAGAAAGCTTCATTAAGCTAAAAATTATATGGATGTACCTCATCCTGTAATATAGTGTTCAGCTTTTGTAACTGCAACATTTGAAGAAACCAGTGTAGATGTAAGGTGACAAGAGATGCTTAGAATATGTATGAGGTTTTTAAAGTTAACAGCATAGTAGATCCTAATTTTAAAACGGAAACATAAGCAAAATACATAAATTGGTCTTATGAATGAATTTCATTAAATAAAATGTAAATTGTGGGTTTTCTGTGATCACTTCCTTTCAGCTTGAACTAACATGTTAGGTTTTGGGTTACAGTCAGGAATTGTAAACACAGAATAGACGTTTAATGTTTCCCTGAGAAAGAAACACGTGCAAGTAATTTCTGTGTTTGTTTGCTAAGTTTATAGGTTAGATCACAGGAGGGGCAATAATAGAGGAGTGGAATTTTGATAATGCAGTTTTCCCCAGGAACTTTTACAAATGCTGAACATATATGATTTACCATCAAACAACATACAGTGCAGTATTATGGATGGTTAATTAATTCATTCATTCATTTATTCACCTTCCATAAATCCTGTCGAGAGTACATTCTCATGCAGATGTGGAGATCATCCTAATAGTAGGCTAAGGCAATACAAATATTGTAATTGAAAGGAATGAATGAATTATTGTTGCTGCTAATGTATGCAGCAGAATATTGAAAAGAACTTTTAGACTATTGTCTGCTGTTGTGTGATAGTATGTTGTTTGGTAGATAGGTACCAATATTTTGAAGGAACCCACTACCATCAATTTCATAACAGAAGAGCAAATCATGTGGAAAAGAATGGTGCAAGATACAGAAAAAGTTAGGACAGCAATTTAGGCTTGTAAGCAAGCCAGTAGGAAACAGTAGCTCCAAGAAGGCAGGGGCAGTTTCGCTGGGAGAGCACTTTTCAGGTCACCCCCCCCCCCCCCCCCCCCTTTCACTTTTCCCTTCTTTCCCGATGAATTATGCTTTGTCATTCTCTTGTGTACCTGACATTTCCTTTTCTCTGTCACAATAGGCATTTCACAGGTACCCCTGTGTTCCTTCTCTGAAACGTTTTTGTTCTCATCTGTTCTTCTTTTCTCTCCCCCAACGACATACCTGTTGTCTCTTCCCCATTCTCTCCTTCCTTTGAGAAACAAATTTTGGACTACTTCCTCTTCATTCTTTCATTTTTCTCACATCTTTTCCTCCCATGATTCTTACCCTTTCTGTAACAACCAAATTGCTCCCACCCCCCTTAGAGGGCCACTGTCTCCTGTTGGATAAGTCACAGCTCCAGGTTCTGTCATCCCTCTCCCTGTATCTTGCACTTCTCTTCCTGTTTACCAGATACCATGAAGATGGATGCAGCAAGTACCTGGGAAACATTGCTACCTATCTGCTAAACAGCATGACACCACATCTAAAGGACAGTAATCTTCATGCTTGCTGCTGTAGGACCTCAGATCCCGCAGCTGCGGTATCTGGCTTTGGATGATCTAGAAAGTTCTGTTAACTGGAAATTGACTAATTGTGAATATTATTATTGAAAGAATGAAATATTGTTATCTTGTTGGTTGGTTTGTTGTTAGGTACACCATGTTATGTTAAGTAGTGATGAAAATGGAATATAAAGTGTGGTACAGAAAACAGGAGGTCCTGTCATGCGAGAAATTAAATTTGTAGGCCTGTCCATGAGGTTGCTGGTTCACTAAGATACACATTATGTATAGGGTTCTGATATCTGGAAAGTTAAAATATCCAACAATCTTTTGGTCTTAGAGGTGCCAGATATCACATCCTTTATTGTATTTGATTCCATTTTTGTTCAGCTTGTAAATAGTATTACTATTTAACCTTGAACATCATATTTTCATGCCTGTTTTAGCTGATATAAATTTGAGTAGAACAGTAAAATGCTTTAGCTTGTGGGCTAGAGTGCTGGACTGTTATGCAAATGGTCTTTTAGTCTAGTCCTGATAGTACAAATTTTGTTTACATGAAGTTTATTGGGCATAACCTCAAAATTTTGGACTATTTTCATATCTGTAATTGTTGATCTGTGAACAGTGATTCATGGAAAATTTCTAAGTACGTTTATGATTGTTCTTCATACCATATTTCAAATGCCTACCTATGCCAAATGGTACATTTGCTATCACTATCTAACAAAAAGCTAAATATAGATTTCAAGTAGCCAGAATCTCATTACTTTAAAATTAAAAAATACACCCATAAAAGTTGCCTATTTTTTTAACATATGCATCATTTCAGAGCTGTCCGTTCAGTGATATTGGTGTCCCTCCCACCTCACAAGTTTGTGCATCCATTATGTTGTTAGTAGTGATTATAGGAAATCAAAAGTACTAGATTTCTGTGGCCCATAATCTCATGATATTTCTATAAATTTCTGTGAATTGCCATAACGCCCTCAGAATTTGTGTGGGGAGGGGGTCACACAGAGAGAAAGGCATCATGGTGATTTCATAAGTTTAATTTAAAATGCCATTTATATCCAAAAAGACCTACAAGTGATTCTTATAATTTGTTCTGCTAACAGTGGAAATGATAATAAAGTAAAAGGAAAGTTATCTCTGTCCTTAATTAATGAAGCACTATGCCACAAAGACATACAGAGGAGTGAAGGTATAGCTCAAGGCCGCACCATAGCTCAAGCGGTTAGTCACTGGCTTCCCACCACGGTGGCCAGGGTTCGATCCCGGGTCTGGTCAAGTGGGATTTGTGGTGGACAAAGTGGCACTGGGACGGGTTTCTCCGAGTACTTCGGTTTCCCCTGCCAATCTTCATTTCACCAACTTCTCCATCATCATAATCACCCAGGGCAGGCTACAGTAGGCCAAGCAGTGGCCGCCTTGCCGAGTGGACCCAGTTGGACTCCACCCCTTACTAAGCAAAAATAAGGTATAGCTCTGCCATTCTTGATTTCAGTACTAGATGGAGGTGAGTGGTCAGCTACACGCCCCAGCTACTTTACCCATGGGGAAAGAGCCCTCAATTCCCATTGGCTATGAAGCTGGGTGGGCATCAGAGTTGGTCTCTGTACTGATGAGAACAGAATAATGTTTCCCCTGCCAGGAATCGAACTGTCCATCCAGCCAATAGCCTCTTGCTATACTGACTGAGCTATCTCCATATGAAATATAATTTATTAACTTTGTTTTCCTCAGCCATAAGCATTATTTTTATCATAAGTTCCTGCCTTGGAAATGTCTTTCAGTACAAAGTTATATGAATATGTAAGTACCAATAAATGTTTGGTGCCTGAACCTCCAAAACTCTTGCTTGACTTATAAGATTTTTAAATAGTGTACTACAAAGGTAATGTATGTCTCTCAGGATGCAGTGAGAGTGGTGGAAGTCACGTATGTGTCAAATTCAACCAAAGAATTGCTACCTGTTCAGAATTCTGTTAAAAATCAGCTTCTCTTACAAGCCTTGCCTCCATACGTCCCTCCAAATTCGCCCAGTCACCAGTACAGCTCTGAACAGTTCTTCTCCTGCAAGGACTGTGGGGACAAGTAAGTGAAATATTTCACATATTTAAAAGTAATGTGTACTGATCATAATTGTTGGTTCAACCTCCCATTGCATTCTGATAATTTCAACGCAGTTTGCAGTACTGTCGATGGAGAAACTTGTGATTTATTTAATGAATGTCTTAACATCAGATGGCATGAAATATTAACCCCTGTTACATGGGAATAAGATTTTAAAGCCTAAGAGCTGGAAACTGCATTTCATCTTTGGTACTATTTTAAGTATACCGTAATGGTATTAGTAATGAAAATATATTGTGGTGTATACATGTGACAATATTATATGTATATATATATATATATATATATATCTTCAAAACTGTTCATGATAAAATATTCCAACAAAATATATTTTAAAGGAAATTGTTCATGGAAGATCTGAATGTCCAGACAGATAGCTCATATGCAAGCAGTGAATGGCACTGCCTGTCCATTTCATCTCCCTTCATAATTGTCTGGAGACTTTCAGGTGCTCTTATGTTTCCTTGTGTATCTCTTAACTGTGAAAAGGAAAACTGGCCTGAGAGGACTCCTCTGTAAAAGAATATTAGATAACAAAATGTAGTTTCCATCCCTTACATGGACACATTTTGTATAAATAATTGAAATTGCTGAGTCTCTGTACTGCCACTGCGATTGGAAAGGATATGAAGGATGCTGATCTCACTGTTCTTGGAATGCACATTTTTATAAAGAAAACGGGGACTAAATGTCCCATTGAATTTCTGCAAGGAAAACTTTAATGTGCGTATTTGCATGTGCATGTGTGTGTACATGCAAAACTCAGAAATTTATTTTGGGATATAGAACTAATTCTGAAAAACTTTTATCCTTTTATAACCCATAATTGTGAATTGCACTGCCAAACTCTTGGGTACCTGTTGCTCAGTATGGTGTGCAGTAAGCAACAATACATATGAGGGAGAGTCGGTAAATAGGTCACAAATGGAAGTAAAGCAGCTGTAATGGATGTAATAGGTTTGCTATATGTATCAGTAGGTAGCATCATAGTCCATTTTCATGACCGTTTAGGTAGTTCGGAGGCTGGTTTCAGTAGTCAAAATGGCGACTGTGCTTTAGGAGTATTCTGCTGAAGAGCAGCCTTCTGTTTTGCATTTTCTGTTGGCAAAAGGACTCAATACAAAGGATATTCATAAAGAAATGTTTCCTGTTTGCGGCTTAAAGTGGTTCACATCTGAATCAAGAAATTCTCTCAAAAGCATTCAAGAATCACAGTTGATGCCTGACCAGGTGCGGAAGTGGCTGAGACAATAGTAAAAGACTTGTATACTGCGGGTTTCAGTGAATGGATAAAGCAATGGAACAAATGTATCAGTGTTGATGGAGGATATGTCTAGACATAAATGTTTTGTCCATGTACGAATATCACACGCTTTATGTTTCATATCCATTTGTGTTGCGTTTTATATCCATTTGTGACCTTTTTACTAACTCCCCTGTATATGGAACAGCAATATAATAGGTGATACAGATAAATGAAATTGGTGTTCATCAGAAATTTCGTTTTCTTTTTTTGGGGGGTGGGAGTGATATTTTGAAAGACAGAGCTCTTGATTACTTGATCACACATTTTCATTCATTTCTCCATTTGTATAGTGCAGCATTGCTAGGATCATTTATTTATTTTGTCTTCACTGATTAGTGTTTTCCCACTTCCTGAAGATGCACATCATCAGAACTCTAGTTATGCCCATTTTGTTTCCTGAAAAGAGTACAAATTCCACTTGTCTTGCAGGAGAAAATGCAGTTGAAACCTAAAACTTAACTGATTCATTCCATATTTGCTGTGCCTTCACATTTACATTTGACAGATCAATGAGGAACATACTGTAATCAGACCATAATACAGTTTGGAAAATGTTAATTCTATTCTGTTAAATCCCAGGTATAGTAAAGAATTTGTAAGTTGACTTTTATTTAAGCACAAACAGACATAGTTGATGATGTACCTTTAAACCTACTCACACATGCAAGAAATTAAATACACAATGCCACCATTTGATCAATTTCTACCACATTTGTCAAAACAGCTAACTGCACCCACTGACTTTTTGTAGTTGACAATTGTGTATGGGCAAAACACCAGACTTCTTTTCCCAGCTTTGATTTCTCATTGGACTATAGTGATCTTGAAATTGTGAAGATTGGACAAAAACATAACTGGCTTATTGTTCTGCCATTGGGCAGCTCATCACAGCCCTTTTTTATGCATTAACACATCTCTTTGTAATTTTCTTTCCTCTCCCGTAATTGCATGTATTATTTTTCTGTTAGGCTGAATAGGGCAGCCATGCAGTATGACCAGTCCTACACTAGAGAGGAAAGACAGGCCAAACCTTTAAAACAGTTCAACTGCTACCATGAGATAAGCCAGAATATGGATGCCTTCTGGAATAATTTGCAATTCATAATAATCTGTGAATCAGAAAATCCAGTGGCAAGAAATTGATTATAGAATATCATTGTACGTAGCTGATTCCAAAAGTAAGGTCTCCAAAGCGCTGGGTAATTTTTCGTGCGGCTGTTGGCAACCCTGTTGCATTCGTTGCTTCCCCCACTCCCCCCAATACCACCAAGCATGCGCGCACGTAGCTAGGACGCTCAGTCTTGGCACGGTTGCCGTTAGAAATGGAGCTCCCGATTACTAAAACCGCGAAGTGTGAGATTCGCGCAGTTATTCGGTTTTTGAACGCAAAAGGGGCTAAACCAATTGAAATTCGTCGTCAATTGGTGGAAGTGTATGGTGAGTCGTGCATGGACATAAAGAACGTCCGCAAGTGGTGTAGGGAGTTTGAATCTGGTCGTACACGACGAAAAAAGAACTGGGAGACCGTCAATTTCTGATGAGACAGTCTCGAAGATTGAGCGAGTCATGCATCAGGATAGGCGCATCACACTCGATGATCTCTGCATTTCAGTTCCCGAGGTTTCCCGAACCACCATTTATCGGGTTTTGACAGAGAAGTTGAATTATCGGAAGGTGTGCGCAAGATGGGTCCCGCGAATGCTCACGGAAGACCACAAATGGCAGAGAGTTGACTCTTCCCGTGAATTTCTTCGCCGCTATGCTGACGAAAAGGACAACTTCTTGAATTCAATTGTCACAGGCGACGGAACCTGGGCGTACCACTTCACACCTGAGACAAAACAACAATCACGTCAGTGGCGGC